ATAACTGTAGTGGCAACTTCAGGTCAAAAATGCGTGAACACTTCCGAGGTTTTTAAGGCTTACTTCATCTCCGAATATGCCATCTCTCATTCCTGGGTCCATTTCCCCGGCCGCTATTTTCCCAGCAACATTTGCAGGGGTTTTAGCAAGGTTGCCAGATGAGACATGAACTTGTCATAGTAATTTACAAGTCCCAAGAACAATCTCAGTTGATCACATTCTCTGGTCTAGGGGCCTTTGTGATAGCCTCCATGTTCTTGGGTAGTTCCTTGCCATTAATTATATATCCCCAATACTCTATGGAATAGTCTTTTAAAAACTTGCATTTCTCTTTTTGCAATCTTTTTAGGGTTCCTTCCAAATTTTTCAAATCCTCCTCTTTGGATTTGAAAATATCGTCCAAATGACACTGGACTCCTGGCAACGCACTTCATATTTGATCCATTGCCCTCTAGAACAGACATGATGCCAAAAGGAAGTCTCTCGTAATGGAAAGGTCCCCTGTATGTCACGATTGTCAGTGGTGGTTGAGACTCTATTGCGACCCCTATCTTTAGGTAGGCCTGTGACAGATCCATTGTTGAAAATTTCTCCCCCGCCCCCGCCAGTCCACTGAATAGGTCTTCTGTGAGTGGAATGGGTATTGATCCACACTCAGAGCTGAGATGATCATGACCTCAATGTCACCACAAATCCTGAAAGTGCCATCTGATTTTAAGACCGGACTGATGGGAGGGACCCATTCACTGATGGTTAATGGTTCATCAGCCATCCCATTTCTCATCGACTTTAGGCCAGGTGGCATACAGTACCGGACACGCCTTCAGACTCCTAGGACGAGCCTCTGGTTTCAGCTGTAATTTAATTTTGACTCTTTTCATTTCCGTCTTTGAAGACATCTTTGTACTTGTCCGGGATCTCTTGCAAACTCATGTTTGAGTCTGCCAGCCTATTAACTATGCCCCAATTCAACCTTCATTTTTGTAACCAAGAGCGTCCAAATAATGCAGGGTATTCATCTTTTAACTACATAAAGTCACAGTTCTTCACACTGATCCCTTAACTGTACTTTCACCAGAACATAGCCCTTCAGTGGCACACTCGTTCCATGTATGTCATAATATAATGTTGGCAGGCTTCATTGGTAGTGCCCTCAACTTCTCCCTATAGACTAATTCAGGAATCAGGGACTCTGCTGTCCCCATATCCACTTCTATTTTTACTGTCTTCCCGTCTACTTTGGAGAGAACCTAGACCTAGTTCCACCACATAATAACAGAACGTTTAACCAGAACTCCACTAACTCTGGGCCTTCTGCTTCTTCCACAGACCTACCTGACTCCCTGTCTACTCCCCAGGTGGCAACATGTATGTTGTGCTTAGTACTCAGAGTTGTTTCTTTCTGATGTCCTGTCTCTCATTTGGGTTGCATTCAGCAATTTTGGGCAATGTGACCCACACGCTTATACCTGCAGCACTAGACTTCTTGAGTCTAATACATTGACTCCTTGTGACCACTCCTGCTACATCGGTGGCATTCTACAGTTGGTACTGCACTCTACCAAGTTTCCACTACTTGATGCAACCGGGCGTCGTCAGCAAACTGGGTTGTTTTGCTGGTGGTAAACTCCATTGAGGTAGCAATTTTGAAAGCTGCTTTGAAATCCAGGCCTCTCCTTGTTATTAGCTTTGGTTAGATGGCTTTGTATTGGAGGCCACAAACCAAATGGTCCTGCAAGGCATCTTGAAGGAACCTTGCAAATTTTCAATGTTCCACTAAACTCTTTAAGGTGGCCCCACATTAGGCGATGGACTCTCCTTCACGCTGTTCTCGTTTTGTGAAAATGGAAATGTTTCACGATCATCAGAGCTCAGGTGTGAAACAATTTCTTAACACTTTTCATAGCTCTCGAAATATCTTCTCAGCGGGTTTTTCTGGTTGAGAAATTGCGAAGGTCTTCCTCCCGATGGTACTTTTGAAAATAAAGTATCATGATGTCATCAGCCATTTTATACACTGAACGCTTCAATTTGTTCTTAAAGGTGAACAAAGTCCAATTTTCTAACTCTATTTCAAGTGATCTCATTGTCCATATTGGACCACCATTATGTTTTCCCGCTGGTGGGAATTTTTCTCAACAACTGAATCTCATAGCCATTCACAACTCAAATCCCATGGGTGAACACACTCTGCGTCGGCTGCTCTGTCACTGGCTGTGCTAGCATACTGTTCCTCCCTGGCATCACCTGTAACCCGAGTACCCTCGTGACCACGCTCCATGAAAACTTTGGTAGCTCCCGGGTGCATACTCTTCTTCAGCAATTGGCCTGAGTACCCCTGTGACCGCAACTCTTGGCCCGCTCCCCAGTGAATACCTTCTTTCCTGGCGGCAACTGCAGCTCGAGTCCCCTCGCAACCACTTCCCTCAACATTACCTCTTTGTACCTTTTCCAAATTCCAGGCAATGTCTCCTCCGGATGAAAGAAAAGGTGTTTGTATACAAGTTTGTGGGATCCCACTCTCATCACCAGTTATGTTGGTGCTTTCTTTAGAACCAGGAATTATTTACTAGGTAGACAAATGATAAATCTGAACAGAAATACTGTATTGATGATGTTATACCTCCACAGCTGGTTCTAGACCAAGCTCTGGGTCACCTGACCAGCTCTCTTAAAGGGGCAGCACCCCCAACTACCTACATAACAGGCATGTCTGATTACAATCCAGGGAATTGGCCGCGGTCGGTCACGCATTTGGTCCTATAGCAGTTTGTAGATCCATGCCCTTGCAGTCTGATCTGGAGGTTCCGGTGTTGGACTGGGGTGGACGAAGTCAGAAGTCACACGACACTAGGTTATAGTCAAGCAGGTTTATTTGAAATCACAAGCTTTTGTAGCGCTGCTCCTTTGTCAGGTGGCGTGACTTGTGGAACCCATTGGACTATAACCTGGCTTTGTGTGACTTCTGACTTTGACTAGACTTCAGTATATAGCAAATAACTTGGTGTCATGTGACTTCTGACTTTGCAGTCTGAAGATTGCACATCGTCAGTCCTCAAGGTCAATACAAGCAGTCCAGGCATTACATGTAAGTGATTTGGGATGCTGCTGAGATATCAGTCCAGAGGGATGGAGGTTGGGCTGGGTTTGTAGTTGGGCTGTAGTTAAAAACTGTACCTGCTAGTTCTAGTCTGTCCCACAATCCTTTCAGCACCTACCATGTCAAGTCCCTTCAGGATATTGTATGTTTCAATAAGATCACCTCTTATCTTTCCAAACTCAAATGGATACATTTGGCACGGTGGCTCAGTGGTTAGCACTGCTGCCTCACAGCGCCAGAGACCCGGGTTTGATTCCACCCTCAGGTGACTGTCTGTGTGAAGTTTACACCTTCTCCCCGTGTCTGTGTGGGTTTCCTCCGGGTGCTCCAGTTTCCTCCCACAGTCCAAAGATGTGCAGGCTAGGTGGATTGGCCATGCTAAATTGCCCATAGTATTCAGGGATGTGTAGATTAGGTGGGTTAAAGGGTGATGGGTTTGGATGGGATGCTCTGAGAGTCGGTGTGGACATGTTGGGCCGATGGGCCTGTTTCCACCCTGTAGGGATTCTATGATTCTAAACTGTCCAACTTCTCCTTATAAGGTAACTAGTCCAAACCAAGGCATTAGTTAAATGAAAGCAAAATACTATAGATGCTGCAAATCTGAAACAAAAACAGAGTATCGGACTCAGCTTTCTCCACAGATTTTTCCAGGCCCACTAAGTTTCTCCAGCATTTTCTGTTTTTGTATTAGGTGATTCTTCTCTGAACTGCTTCTACTACATTTCCATCAGACTACGAAAACTGTACACAGTACTGCAGATGTGGCCTTATCAATACAGCTATATATCTGAAACAAACTATCCTAACCTTTTATATTCCATTTGCCTTGTAATAACAGCACATTTCAGTAGTCTTCCTAATCACTTGCTGTTTTGCATATTAACTTTTCATAATTCAATTGCCCCCAGCACTCACTTCCAAATCGTTTATATAAATCATAAAAAGTAAAGGTCCCGACATCAATCCCTGGGGAACACAATTTTCAATTTGTCTCCAGTCAGAGAAATGCCATCTATACCTACCCTCTATTTCCTATCTTTTAGCCAATGTCCAATATTTATTGACAAAAACCCATCAATCCCAAACACTTCTAATTTGCTAACCAACCTGCTATGTGGCACCGTCACAAATGCTTTCTGAAAGTCCAATATACAACATCCACAGCACTATCCTCATCCACTGCCTGTGTCACCTTGTGAAAGAACTCAAATTTGTCATACATGACCTGCCTTTGACAAAGCCATGTTGACTGTCTAGTATTAACTTATTTTTCTGTCTGTATATTCATCTATCCCATATTATGGTTTCCACCACTTTCCCAGTACTGATAGCAAACTGACAGTCTCTTGAGTTATTGTTTGCCCTTTTGTAGCAATCCTCCATTCCCCTGGGACTAATTGTGTGTTCAGAGAAACATGGAAAGTTTCTGTCAATGACTCCACAATTTTCTCCCTTATCCCTCTTGGCAATCTAGGTTGCATCCCATTTGGCCTAGTGACTTCTCTACCTGGAGTGCCTGCCAGCCTTTTTACCACCTCTTCTTTATCTATCACTATACTGCTCATTTGCTCAACGCTCACATTTTCGACTGAGCTGTTGTCACCATTTTCACCTTGTCTTCTAGAAATCTAAGCACAGTACACCTACCAGTTCCGTTTTATCTTCCAACTTACCCTGCCAGAAGGCTAATGTCAATGCTGATGTTTAGAAGTTATGACAGTTCTGATGTTATGACAGTGTCACCTCTGTATATTCTGCCTCAGAGATACTTCTGCAAACTGAGAAGTGACCTGTGTTTATTAAATACTGCACATGTACTAATTTGAATAATTGAATAAGTTCACACTCTGAACTGTACTTTCAAATTGTAACTACCGAAAATTATTTTTTTTTGCAGGCAAGATAAATACTACAAGACTACAGACACACTTTCTGCAAGAGTGAAATTGAAAAGCTGTTGATTATCATAGCGATTCAGGATACAATTATTTATACAAACTGTTAAGATAAATACGTTTACAAGAATGGAATGTATCAGTGTATACTTTAAAAGATATATTAATTTAGTGAAATAGTCTAGAAATAAAATTGTATACAGAATTTAAAATGTACTTCTTGGTGCTTTAATAACAATTTTGAGAAAATCTGCTGCATCAATTTACTTAATTTCCCTTAAAAATATTCTCTGTGATGAAGGACTCCATGAATTTCCAAATTTACCTTTATTTTGCAACATGAACATTGGTTCAAGGAGAAGTTACAGAGGAGCTAGAATTTAAAGTTTTTTTATTGTTTTGAAATCTTAATTGTAAGAATGCTTTTGTAACCTTACAAAATATTTTGAATATGTTCTAATTTTATCTTTTAATAAACCTGATTCATAATTCACAGCATAGGATACATGATACCTCAAGTATTTGTTCTTCAGTTAGAGATATCAGGAGGGTTGGAGTCATTTTCTATTGTTCGTAGTGAGTTTAACAGAGCATAATTGTTAGATATTTTGGTAATAAAGGTTACACTTTTGTTCATAACTTTTCATGTTAGAGTGAAAAGGGACTGAAGATAATCAAGTTCAGCTGGTGCATTTATGCAATAATTCTACCTTTGGGCTAGCTAAGGGATCATTATTTCAGCATAATAGTCTAGACTCATAGAATCCCTACAGTGTGAAGGAGGCCATTCAGCCCATTGAGTTCACACTGACCCTCCGAAGAGCATCCCCCACCCAATTCCTGTAACCCTGCACTTCCCATGACTAATTCATCTAACTTGCTCTCTCCAATCATAAAACTCTCTCGCTACAAACAAACTTACATTATCCCACCAGGAGGGCACCATCACCTGCTCTCCAACACAAGTTGGTTTAAAGTCATGTCTCCAGAAAGACTAACAAATTGACTAGTGAACCACTTCATACTGCTCATTGGCTGAAATTAGTTAGTACTGTAAAGACTGTGGTGACATTCACTACTGTAAGAAGTATTGTGGGAATGTCACTTGATTTCAGGTTTTCATGAAGCAGATCACAAAGAAGTGCTATTGCAGTTTAAGAAGAGGACACTTCTCTGATGCAGAGTTCCTTCATACTTTAGGATAGGAGGGTTACAGCTGGTAGGCTGTATATTGGAATAATGGCTCAAATCTTGCAATCACCATCAATTCTTCACATATTGATGCTGCCCGTAAAGACTTTTGCATCCTAACCTTTGTGCACACTTTTATCCAGAACGTCTAATCGCAGCTGCAGCTGTAATAGGTTAGCACAACTATCCCCACAACAAATTGGCAAGTGTTAAGAGAAGATAGACCAAGAGAGAAAATGCCCAAAAGACAGATGCAATTGTTGTAAATCTTGATCTGACTCGAGAGTATTCTAGGTCTCTTCACTGCCATTGGTAATCTCATTGGTAGTCCCAATGATAACAGCAGTAGTCCTGCCAATGGTGGTTTGCTCATATCTACCAGGTAAGTGATATTTGTGGTTTATGTACCAAATCACCTTAACTGCATTGCAATATTAGCATACCAATGCGAGGAATTGGTAACCCATTAATGCAGTCAATTTTGAAGTTGTCACTTGTACCATTGAATTCCAATGATTTTGGTACATCCTTCAGAATTTAGACTGGTTAGTTGACTTTGTCCACACAATGTGTTACATTCAAATTATGGAAAGCCTGTTGTTTATCCTGGTTGTAATTGCTCCATTCTGGAGTTGTCTTTGCTGTCAACTTTGTGTCTCAAAAGGAAATCTATTGTTCTCATCCAGTTTGTCCTATATGTGACTACAGTCTGCAGCAATGTGGGTGACTCGTTACTGCTGTCTGCAACGGCTTAAAAAACCAATCATTTCAAGGTAAGTTATGGATGGGCAACAAACATGATGCCAGAGATGCCCACTTCCCATGAAAGAATAAAGGAAGAAAAAAACTACTACATCTGTACTCGCTTAGGCTGTGCCCTGTGATAGCCTAATGGCATCTTCAGAGCCAGATTTCTTGCATAGGTGGGAACAGTGCCCTTTTATACTGAATGCCTCGCAGTTACTGGAGTGCAGCACAGCTTCACAGTGAGTGAAATAGACCTCATTTGCAATACAGCCTGAGATAACAAGGTGTAGAGCTGGATGAACACAGCAGGCCAAGCAGCATCAGAGGAGCAGGAAGGCTGACGTTTCGGGCCTAGACCCTTTTTCAGAAAAATACAGCCTGCTTGTTTTGCTTGTCCTGCGTACACTGTCATTAATATTTGCTTCACCTAATGCTTCCAGTTAGTTTTCAGCATATTGGCTTCATTCCATCATAGTGGCTTTGTATTTGCTGTAATCTGCGTACTCTGAATCAATGGGGTGATGTTTTTGTTTTCCCAAGAGGTCTTTTTGGAATGCTTCCTTAGGTATTGAGGTAATTACCAACTCCATTATCCAGCTCAATCTCTGAAAAGTCATATTCATTGCCCTTACTACTGCATCTACTGATAAGTTCATCTATTGATTGTTACGCTTTTTGCCCGTAGGATATAAGTTCTAGGTGGCGAATTTTAGAGTTGACTCTTAAAATACAACTGATCTTCTGGCACTTACCGTATCTTTGCAGGATCTTTATGGTCCTCCAGATAAACCCAAAGTATTGACCCTCTGAAACCTCTTATAACCAAAGCTATCTGTATCTTCACAGTTTGCATGCTGAGTTCTGCAACTGCTTGGTCTACAAGTCATAGCTGCATAGTTTGTTTAAAAAGTTTGGATTCAATTAGGAGATTCTTGGCTTTCAAGTACATGCTAGTGAATTGGTATCCATCCTTCTTTGTTCTCACCAGTATACTTAGTGTTCCTTTTCTACTTTTTAGCTTGAAACTTATTTTAGGGCTTATTCTGTTGACTCTGTGCTGTTCCTGAATGAAACGTGTGTTTCCCTATATTTGAATTTAGGCTTTTCCTTAATTCATCTGATCCCAACAGCCATTCAGATTTGAAACAGCCTTCAGATAATGTGGGTTTAAATCTGTCTACACAAACCTAGATAACTTGGAGAAAACACGGTTTGTGAAGAAATCTTTCTTCTATTTTCTGTATTGCGGGAACTTTTGGATAGCTGTTACCATTTGTTTGCTACTACTCTCCTTGGCCCAGTAGCTTGTAAGACTGGTTTCTTCTTGGTTTAGTTTTCTCGATGCGCACCAGGTAATAATATTTTCTAAATGTAACACAAATAAGCTATATGGATTCCATTTACTTGGAGATGGTTATTTCTAATGTGCATTTATTTACAACTAAGTTGATTTATATAGCACAAAGTGCCCTTCAAAAATAGATAATGCCTACAGTGCTGCAGTGCAGAGAGTCTATGGCCTTATGATAAAGGACTTGAGTCATTTGCATGTTCAGCTCTTAAAGGGAGATCTCTCCAAAGGTTATATCATAACAGGTGATTGAATGAGTGACATTTTACTTTATGTAGAAGTGGCTGGGGAAGTGCCAGGAAAGGTCAATAATTGGATGGGTTGGCACAGGTGAGATAGCCATCCCGATTTGCTATTTCAATAATCATGTCTGGACAGTAAGATCGTTTACAAACCACCACCAATTAAGGCCCTTAGGATGGTGAAAAGGCTGAAAATATTTGTATGAATATAATATTGCAAGGTACTCACAATTAAATATAGATCTTAGTGGAAAAAAAAACAAAAATAAATATTTTTCATTGATACAGCAGTAAGTGAAATTGAGGGGTAGAGGAGACCTCCAATGTCATCAATATTATGCTGGCTCCAGCATGCACGTGTCTGGCTGTCTGCATGGACAGTTTGGTGCCCATCTTAGAAACCTAGGTTCAGCATTCTCAGTGGCTGCACTCTATCACATTAGTCATAAGTGCTCAGCAAAAATAACTCAGTAAGAGGTAGGGGTGAGTCCTCAACATTATTCTAGGTACCCCTGCCTCTCAGGGAGACAGGATTGTGCCATTAGACACCCATAAAGATGACAAGGCACTCATAGGGCCCATGAAATCTTCTTCTTAGGGCACTCTTGTGTAGTCAGGCCCCTCCACCTCTTCCTGCCTCTAACCCTAATGCCTTCTGAGGTTGAAGCCAAGGAGGGTGATCCTACATCAGTAGGTCCAGGCCCTCTAGGTCCAAATACCCTGGAGGTGATCGACCAAGAGCCTACAACGGAGGAGAGGAGAGATAGAAACTTACTGAGGGTATGTATGTGACACATAATTGTAAATAATCTTGCAGTTTCATCAACATACCTTCGTTCACATGCTTAAAATGTCTATTCTATCATTGAACCTGGTTAATTTGCACCATTGAGAGATAAACAATCTCTTCAGGCAACCCAAGCATGAAACTAGTTTTAGTGGCAAAGCATCGTTCATCTCTCACAAGCTACCAACTCCTTAACTGTAGATATCCTCAGATGTCAGAGATCCTTGAACAGTAATATTTCAAGACTACAGGTGCTCCGTGTGAGATCCATGAGTAGATAATCTATGGGAAATGTCAGACATAAGTTTACTGAAGGCACTCCTTAGCCCTTACATCGATCATAATGAAGCCTCATGTCATGTCTTCGCAGACTGTGGTTCTTGGCTATATTGTACATTGTACAACTAAAGTTTTAATGCAGCATTGGGTGTAGCATGCTGCCAGTAAGCTACCATTAAACCCTTCCCTGCAACAAAAGAAAATGTTCCCTTCCACATCATTAACCATATTCTTGCACACTTACATTTTAGTGTATGAATGCGCTGTTCAGTGTTGACTTCCAGTACTAACTATGGAATGTGACTGGGAAATAAGAACTCTACTTTGAAATACTTTTGTCTGATTACATCACATCACTGAGATAATAAGAATAACAATTAATGTATATGATGTGATGCTCCTGACTGCTGTCCTATTGTTGAAGTTCAAACTGAAGCCAGATTGATGGCACTACTGAATCATTGGAGATATGATTACTGCATTGTCCTTTGCATAGTCTCCAATTCCAAGAGCTTTACTTCAACCTAGAATTTAAAAAATAGTAACTTACTCCACCCACTTTGCTAGATCTACATTTAACTACTCAGAGATAGCAAGAACTGCAGATGCTGGAGTCGGAGATAACACAGTGTGGAGCTGGAGGAAAACAGCAGGCCAGGCAGCATCAGAGGAGCAGGAAAGTTGACATTTCGGGTCAGGACTCTCCTTTAGAGTCTTCTTTACTACTGTCTGATTTATCCTGTGATAACAATGAGTTCCAATAGCCTCAACAGTTATTAAGAGACAGCAGTTTTGTTTTCCAATCAGGTGAGGGATACATTTTAACCAGCAGGTGACAGAAATCTAATTTTAGAAAACTATGGGAAGCTTTGAGATGCAAGAATGAACGAGTGCATGTATGCTTTCTT